AAGAATGGGGGGCAAAGAAGGGACAAAGAAGGGGCAAAGAAGGGCTATCGACAGCTCTTGAACCCCTGGGAGGCTGTTGGGGGGCATTTTCTTTGCTTTGTCTCAAGATTCTGCACTGGATCTTGTTTTCTGTGGTTACCTTTTTGAGAACTAAGATTGATATCTTCTTTTTTGATGCCTAGGATTGACTGAATTGCTTTGAATTGCTTTGGCTTCAGTTTGACTTTAGAATTCGGCTTCTGCCAAACCTAGGGACCTAGTAAGTCAAGCCAGGACAGAGCTAAGTCAAGCTAGACCAAAGCTGAGCCAAGCCAGGCCTAGAGCTCGCCAAGCTAGACCAAAGCTGAGCCAAACCAGCCTAGAGCTCGCCAAGCTAGACCAAAGCTGAGCCAAACCAGCCTAGAGCTCGCCAAGCTAGACCAAAGCTGAGCCAAGCCAGGCCTAGAGCTCGCCAAGCTAGACCAAAGCTGAGCCAAGCCAGGCCTAGAGCTCGCCAAGCTAGACCAAAGCTGAGCCAAACCAGCCTAGAGCTCGCCAAGCTAGACCAAAGCTGAGCCAAGCCAGGCCTAGAGCTCGCCAAGCTAGACCAAAGCTGAGCCAAACCAGCCTAGAGCTCGCCAAGCTAGACCAAAGCTGAGCCAAACCAGCCTAGAGCTCGCCAAGCTAGACCAAAGCTGAGCCAAACCAGCCTAGAGCTCGCCAAGCTAGACCAAAGCTGAGCCAAACCAGCCTAGAGCTCGCCAAGCTAGACCAAAGCTGAGCCAAGCCAGGCCTAGAGCTGAGCCAAGCCTAGAGCTAGATTTTCGACTACTATCTACACCCCTAGCATCACATAGTACAAGAAACAAGAAACCCGTTCCCAAAGTCAATCCTCACAACATTTTCTCAACTTTTCCCCTTCTCTGGCACATCCGATTGAGGAAAAGTTTGTTAGAGGCGAAAAAGGGCAAAAGTTAAGGAAAAAGGGGGGAAAAGATGAAAGAAAAGAGACAACCGCTTATCTTATTTGTCTTTTTGGGAGACAAGAACAGAGCCAGAGACCCTGTGAGTCCCCTAGGGCCTTGGGAAAAGGAATCTGGTGACGAGCGGGAACAGAGCTGGGATCTCTTTGACCCCGACTAACTAGCTTCTCATCGCCTTCTCCCAGCTTTCCTCGGATTTGACACCCATCCAATTCTCCTTTCTACTGTCAGAACTTTACTTTTTACTTCTTGTTTTCTTTGGTAGTGAAAATCCTGAGCCTTCGACTTGTCAACAGATTTCAGGCTGTTACTAGCTGGCTAGGTCCAGGCTGTTACTAGCTGGCTAAGGTCCAGGCTGTTACTAGCTGGCTAGGTCCAGGATGTTACTAGCTGGCTAGGTCCAGGATGTTACTAGCTGGCTAAGGTCCAGGCTGTTACTAGCTGGCTAGGTCCAGGATGTTACTAGCTGGCTAAGGTCCAGGATGTTAGCAAGGTTAGCTGACCAGGCTAGAGTCTGGCTGGCTAGAGTCAGGGCAGAAGATCGGCTTTACTCTAGACCTGACTAGAACTAGGTTAGGCTTGGAACAACTCTGCTCACCTCTGCTCACCTCTGCTCACCAATCTCTTATCGTGGCTTTACAACACTAGGTGAAATAGTAGATGGATCTTGTAGATGGTACTTGACAAGTACTTGACAAGTACTTAGCTTTGACTTTGTTTCTTTCGATTTCAAGTCTAAACACTTCTTGAAGCCATACTGAGTCGTGGGCGAGGATCTGGATGAGCAAAAGCTTTCAGATTCATATTCTCCAAGTGTTGAACTGGAGAATGAATAGATAGATGAATAGATAATTACCATAATCAATTATATTTCCTATTTCTAAAAAACTAAATCCTCTATCTATCTTCTTATTACGTTTTCTTGCTCTTTCTTTATCTTCTTCTTTTCTTTATCTTCTTTTCTTCTTTTCTTCTTCTTTTCTTTATCTTCTTCTTTTCTTTATCTTCTTTTCTTCTTTTCTTCTTTTCTTCTTTATCTTCTTTTCTTTATCTTGTTCTTCATTTTTTCTCTTTCTTCTGTCATTCACAAATCCTCTAAATCCTAGCAAAAAAAGCGTCTATTAGCCAAATTCTCGATGTAAAACAAAAAAGACAAGATAAACAAAAAAGTTATTCAGTTTTTCCTTTTCCTTCCTTTTCAATCATCTTTTTAGCGAATTTTATCATTTCTCCTACTTTATTACTCAAAAATTACGCACAAATTAGTCATTTGTGAGTAGAAAGATCATAAAATGGATAGAATGGATAGAATGGATAGAATGGATAGAATGGATAGAATGGATATAAAAAGAATAAAATGGATACAATGGGTCATTGTGAAGGGAATGGTGAAGGGAGTTTTGAAGGGAGTTTTGAAGGGAATTTTGAAGGGAATTTGAGAGGAAAAAAAGAGAATTTTTGAGAATTTCTATGGAAACTTTATAGAAATTTGATTAAATTCAGATCAGATCTAGATAAATCTATTTTTAACTACGAATCGTTTATCTAAGTCTATCTCTAACTACGAATCGTTTATCTAAGTCTATCTCTAACTCCGAATCGCTTATCTAAATCTATCTCTGGCTACGCGTATACACTCTACTGAACATACTTGTACTCAAAATCAGAAATTTAAAGATTTTGTTGGGAATTTATGGCAAAAACCTGGCATAGCAGTGCTTAAACAATGTTTTTTTATAAAATGCAAAGAGTTGTAAAGTGCAATTTCTAATAGAATTTGATATTTTGGAAGCCTAGTCTTCTGCCGTTCAAAACAGCGCCCTTCAAAATAGCGCCGTTCAAAGCAGCGCCGCCAAAACAGTGTCGCTCAAAATAGCACTAAATTTAAATGCAGATTTCAGATTCTAATTTAAACTAAGACCCTTTTGGGTTTTCTGAGAACACGTCGTTTAATAATTTCCTTTGTCGGAACTCCAGTAATTCGATCGTTTTTGGCGCCAAAGGGTATCTCACGTATCTAAAAATAGAAACTAGAAATAAGAAGTTAAAAAAAAACAATAAGTTAGTCAAAGCAATAACTGAAACAAAACAATAAATACCTCTTTTGTTTCTTTCAATGGCAGGCAGGTAGCGTGTTCGTTGGTGACAGAAAGGACTCTAGTTGTAATGTTGGTGACAGAGAGGACTCCAGTTGTAGCGTTGGTGACAGAAAGGACTCTAGTTGTAGTGTTGGTGACAGAGAGGACTCCAGTTGTAGCGTTGGTGACAGAAAGGACTCTAGTTGTAGTGTTGGTGACAGAGAGGACTCCAGTTGTAGCGTTGGTGACAGAAAGGACTCTAGTTGTAGCGTTGGTGACAGAAAGGACTCTAGTTGTAGTGTTGGTGACAGAGAGGACTCCAGTTGTAGCGTTGGTGACAGAAAGAACTCCAGTCGCTTCTTCGTCTTTGAAACATCTGGTCTAGCATCATCATGTTGAAGAAATCATGCCAAATGATTTTTCTCTTTGATGTCTTTCTTTGGCAAAGATTTGGCTGACTTGTCAAGTTGCTCCGAGTATTTGATTAAGTTGAGTGTTGTCTTGCATCCCAGTGGGCAAGCTCTTCCAAATCTCAGAGCACCGAAAGCATAAACTTCTTATGCACATTTGGCTTTAAAAGCTTTAAAAGCCAAATGTGCATAAGAAGAGCTTTAAAAGCCAAATGTGCATGAGCTTTAAAAGTTAAATCTTGCCAAATTCAAAAGCCACGCTTCAAAAGCCAAATCAAAGCCAAATCAAAAGCCAAATCAAAAGTCTCATAGAAAAATTTCAAACCTAAGCCTTCAACAAAAAATCTACAACAAAACGAATAAAAAGAAATGACCGATAGCTACCGTTTTTTGGATTGTTTTGTCGTTCAGATACTTGTGTCCATCTTCATTACGCTTCATCTTTGTGAGACTTCATCGTTGTGAGATAGCGACATTCCTAAATGAAGAAAAATGTTGAGAAAAAAAAAATTCTGCAAAAAAGGAATAAAAACTAGCCGAATCTATCTTATTAAATTTATTTGAAATCAAAGAAACAAACCTTAAACAAATAGAATTTCTTTGCAAACGATATTGTGTGAAAAGTAGGAATGATTTTGAAGAACAAGGCAAGCAACAACAACAACAACAACAACAACAAGGCAAGCAACAATCTAATCGCAGTCTTTTTCAATTTGGCGCTATTTTGAACGGCTTTCTTTTGAATAGCGTTATTTTAAAAGGCGCTCTTTTGAACGGCGCTCTTTTGAACGGCGCTCTTTTGAACGGCGCTATTTTGAACGGAGCTATTTTGAACGGAGCTATTTTGAACGGAGCTATTTTGAACGGAGCTATTTTGAACGGAGCTATTTTTAACAGCGTTCTTTTGGCGGCGCTAGCTAACATTACCCTTTATTACTCTAAATTTTCATTTTCTTTACAAGTCCATCTAGTGAATCCAGAAATCCATCCTTGAAAATATGCAATTAGCTGGAGATGGATAACCCAAGCCTCTCCCCAGCTCCTCCCCAACCTCTCCCCAACCCCTTCCCAACCCCTCCCCAACCCCTTCCCAGTCACGCCCCTTCCTTCTAACGAAAAGCTGACACGCAAATTTTCTCAGCCTTTCCATTCCCCCTTTCTTTGAAAATTTCTTTTCCCTTGAACTAGCCTTTCTTCTTCTTCCAGATCTTTCAATTTTCTTCTAAAATCTGAACAAATCTGAACAAATCTTTCAGCTTTTCAACTTTTCTTGCAAACATCCACTTTCTGGTTCATTTATTTAGCTTTTTATCTAGCTCTAGCTTTATCTAGCTCTAGCTTGATCTAGCTCTAGCTTTATCTAGCTCTAGCTTGATCTAACTCTAGCTTGATCTAGCTCTAGCTTTATCTAGCTCTAGCTTGATCTAGCTTCTTATTTAGCTTTTTTTTGCCTTTCTTTTATCATTCTCATCCTTTTGCTTACTCAAATTTTTCCAGATTTTCCGAATGATGGACTTTTTGATCAAATAAAAGAAAACATACGAGAAACGATGATTTTCCGAGCACTTCTTCTCTTCATTTCTTCATTTCTCTTCATTTACAAAGCAACAGCTGGCATCAGTTGTCTTGTGATTCGACCAGGTTTGTCAAAAATTTGCGCAAACGTATCCTTTCTAGCGCATAGATGAGAAATTACATTTGGACGAGTTTAACTAACCGTTTAACGTTAAACTAACAAGTAAAAAGGCCAAAATTTCAACGGTATTGCTCATTCTGGATGTCACAGCGTACATTGGAGTACATTTACGTACCTTCACTTAGTTCTATAGTACTGTACTATCTAGTCCTTGGCTGTCCAGAGGTGTACTTTGTACTTGCTCGTAAAAAGCGTCAATATTTCAACCGTATTGCGCATTCTGGATGTCACAGCGTACTTTAGTGTCCAATTTACGGTAACTTGACTTGACCCTGGCCATGGCCTAGGTCTGCTCGATCCTGACCTTGCCGATTCTGACCCTGGCTTGGCCCACAAGTAAAAAGCATCAAAGGCATTGCTCATTCTGGATGTCACAGAGTACGTTGAAATCCAATTTACGGTACATTGCCCTAGTTTTTTACTACTGTAATAGCCAGTCTTTGTTCAGAGGTGTACTTTGTACTCGCTCGTAAAAAGCGTCAAAATTTCAACGGTATTGCTCATTCTGGATGTCACAGCGTACATTGGAGTCTAATTTATGGTGCCTTGACTTAGTTTTTTTGTACTGTACTAGCTAGTCTGCCTGTTCACAGGTGTTCTTTGACCGTTCAGAGATGTACTTTGTGCTCCCTGGTAAACGCGTGTTTTCTGGCACACAATCAGAAAACTCTCTAGAATCGTCAAAATTGAAGGAATTTTGCTGAAAATTTGGAAACTGGGGTTTTTCGGGATGGGGAATTCGATGGAGTGGTTAGTTTTCCGCAGTTTTCCATAGAAACTAACCATATTACTGTTTTCTAGATGCTTGTTTTCGATTATAGACAAAGAGTCAAAGAAGTCTCCAGGGGACTGAAAATGTCAGTGACTTACTTATCCAAAATCCTTTTCTTTAGCACTATATTCTTTGGATTCTTTGGTGTTTATTGAGGGTAAAAGAAAAGAAAAAGAAAAGAGACATCTCATCATTTCTGCTTGCTTTTGATCCCTTAGGGAAATGGGAAATGGGTGAAAGGTTTTGGAGTAAAAGGAAACGAAAAAGATTGTAGGTTTAGTAAAACGATTCTTTGAATATAGATAATTTTAAGTACAAAGCACAAAGCCTAATTCTATTTATTTATTTGAAAGTTTTTTTTCAGGCTTAGGCTTCGGCTCAGAATCAACTGTAGCTACGTTAAAGTACTCTAAACTCATATTGTACTTGCATAGCAGCTTCGCCAGGCACGGCAGCTTGTACTTGCATAGCAGCTTCGCCAGTGAGTGCACGGTTCTCCCGTTCCGCAAATCCCCAACCTAAGCCTAAGCCTGAGCCTAAGCCTAAGCCTGAGCCTGAGCCGAAGCTTTGGAAACAAAGATTTTAGCGAAGAGACGAAAATCGGGTCTAGATTTTTTGGGAAACAAATATCGGGCACCATGCTTATCATACTCTGTGACATCCAGATCGTGCATTGCTTTGTACTAGAAGGCAAACGTTTCCGCGAAAGCACAAAGTACACCTCTGAAAGCTCAAAGCTATGGTACCATACCCAAAAAAAGAAGCTAGCATACCGTAAATTGAGCCTTATCGTACTCTGTGACATCCAGATCGTGCATTGCTTTGTGCCAGAAGGCAAACGTTTCCGCGAAAGCACAAAGTACACCTCTGGAAGGTTAAAGCTATGGGACGGTATCCGACAAAAGATGCTAGGATACCGTAAATTGGTGCTTATCGTACTGTGTGACATCCAGATCGTGCATTGCTTTAAAAAACTTTCACTAGAAACTCTATTATGGCAAGTTTTCTGGAGAGATTACAAATGAAGGGGTACAACTGGATTGGGGAAGGGTTTTTGAAAGCGGTTTTGAAAGGGTTTTTGCGGGTACTTTGTGCTTCTGTAAACGCATAAAATCTAGTGTACTAGAATAAAGAAAAAATCCCAATATTTGTCGCCATTTTGTCACCATTTTTTCATTCTTGAGATTTAGATTGAGAAATCGGTGTCTTTTTGTCGCTTTTTTTGTCTCTTTTTGTCTCTTTTCCTTTCACTTTCTTCGAAATCCCCAAAATGCCCATCAAGTGGTCCCATTTTAGCCATTTTCAGCCTTTATCTCCATAAAATAGGCCCGAGACAAGATCATTTTAAGTCTAGCTAAGCTTTGAAGCAAGAAAAATTGGCTTCGAAACAATTCTACAGTCATTTCTACATTCAGTTCTATCACTATCTTGTGTTCCTATTGAGTTTGTAGAGATTGTAGAGATTGGAGAGATTGTAGAGATTGGAGAGATTGTAGAGATTGGAGAGATTGGAGAGATTGAAGAGATTGGAGAGATTGGAGAGATTGTAGAGCTTGTAGATCTTGTAGATCTTCTAGCTCTTGTAGATCTTCTAGCTCTTGTAGATCTTCCAGCTCTTGTAGATCTTCTAGCTCTTGTAGATCTTCTAGCTCTTGTAGATCTTCTAGCTCTTCTAGATCTTCTAGCTCTTGTAGATCTTCTAGCTCTTCTAGATCTTCTAGCTCTTCTAGATCTTCTAGCTCTTCTAGATCTTCTAGCTCTTCTAGATCTTCTAGCTCTTCTAGATCTTCTAGCTCTTGTAGATCTTCTAGCTCTTGTAGATCTTCTAGCTCTTCTAGATCTTCTAGCTCTTGTAGATCTTCTAGCTCTTCTAGATCTTCTAGCTCTTCTAGATCTTCTAGCTCTTCTAGATCTTCTAGCTCTTCTAGATCTTCTAGCTCTTGTAGATCTTCTAGCTCTTGTAGATCTTCTAGCTCTTCTAGATCTTCTAGCTCTTCTAGATCTTCCAGCTCTTGTAAATCATTAAAATTCGATCTCAAGAATGCCAAATTCAATCTAAAACCTCTAAAACCTCCTCCAAATTCGATAACTTTACTTTACTTTGCTTTACTTTACTTCACTAAAATAGCTTCTAATAGAGCAAAGAATGGATGGAATTGTGTTGAAATGGTTGAGAAGGGAAAAAGGAAAGGAGAAAAGGGAAAGAAGAGGCATGCTCTATGCAAATATCATCACTAGCCTTCAGCTTTCTCTCATTTTCACGACAAAGCATCTTTATGAGTCTTGCTTTCAGCAAATTCATCGTACATCACCTTCATTTACATAAAAAAAGATTCAAAGGTTAACCTGGGGTACTGGGTTTAACGATTAAGCCTATATAAAACTATAAAACTATTGAGCTATTGAGCTATTGAGCTATTGAGCTATTGAGCTATGTAGCTAGTAAACTAGTAAACTAGTAAACAAGTAAACTATTAAACTATTGAACTATTAAACTATTGAAGCTTTTAAAACATGTCTTTCTGTATTTAAAAGTACTTCACACCGACATTTGAAGTACACCGACTTCAAATATTTCAAGTTCTGTCTACTTTACGACTTCAAACTGGGCAAAACAGTCGCGGAATCTCATCGAGATTTGGACAAAGCATTTGGGAATAATGTTTCGAAAGCCGATGCCCAAAAGCCAATGCCGAGCCTGGTTCCAACGCTTTCGGAATGGTGATGAAAGTCTCGAGGAATTGTGATGACTCTCTTGTCGAGCACTCAGGTCGAACACTCTCGTCAAGCGGTAGACAACGATACTTCAAGCGATAGACAACGATACTTTGAGGGCTACAATCGGATCAATGCCAAACGACGCGTGAACTTGCTCAAAAGTTTCGATGTTCAAATTCTACGACTAATTCTACTATTGATTCTATTATTGATTCTAGTTCTAGCAAATTCTAGCATCTTCAAGCCATTGGAAATGATCAGATGCGGGGAAATGGCTTCCTCAAGAGTTAGTGGCTTCCTCAAGAGTTAGCAGCTTCCTCAAGAGTTAGCAGCTTCCTCAAGAGTTAGCAGCTTCCTCAAGAGTTAGCAGCTTCCTCAAGAGTTAGCAGCTTCCTCAAGAGTTAGCAGCTTCCTCAAGAGTTAGCAGCTTCCTCAAGAGTTAGCAGCTTCCTCAAGAGTTAGCAGCTTCCTCAAGAGTTAGCAGCTTCCTCAAGAGTTAGCAGCTTCCTCAAGAGTTAGCAGCTTCCTCAAGAGTTAGCAGCTTCCTCAAGAGTTAGCAGCTTCCTCAAGAGTTAGCAGCTTCCTCAAGAGTTAGCAGCTTCCTCAAGAGTTAGTGGCTTCCCCACGTAGTGTAAACGCTCGTTTATATCCAAACAACCTAATATACCTAAGCGGTATAAGCTATTTAGATTTCAAAAATATTAGAAAACCTTTCAAAGGCCTATCTACTATAGACTTTATAGCTTGAATAACTAAATTATAAGTTTATTGAAGAATTAATAATATATAGTACAACCAGTACTGTCTAATATCTAATATCTAATGTCTAATGTCTAATGTCTAATATCTAATGTAGCTACATTGTCTAATATCTAATGCTAATGTAGCTATATCTATCAGATCTATCAGATCTATCAAATCTATCAAATCCTTTTATCCAAACATTTCAGCAATGCATTGATTGGCTGTAAATGGCTGGAATGGGTGTAAAAGCTTCAGAAAAAGCAATATTTAGAGATGGATTTGAAGAGAGAAAACAATCATAAGTGAAAAGGGGGAAAGAAGAGCTCAGAAAACAAGAGAACAAGAAAACAAGAGAACAAGGAAACGAGAAAACGAGAAAACAAGAAAACAAGAAATTTCGAGGGTACTAAGTGCACAGAAAACATAAGAAACATCAATCGTTTTGCTTTTTCGTGGGATTCATAGATGAAGATTGCTTCAAAGCAAGCTAGCGGCCTGGCCCAACCAGTAGGAGTTCTTGGTCAAACCAGTAGGAGTTCTTGGTCAAACCAGTAGGAGTTGTTGGCCCAACCAGTAGCCTTGTGTCCCACCGGATCCAACCGTTGTCCAACCGAGCAAGGCTTGACCTCGTTTAACTTGACTTGGACCTCGCTTAGCTTGGCCTCGCTTAGCTTGACCCGATCAGGCCCAAGTCAAGCAAAGGTTAAACCAGATCAAACCAGACGTTAAACCAGATCAAATCAATTCCAAATCAATTCCAGTGTATCCAAATCTATTTAAATCAATTCCAAATCCATTCAAATCAATTCTATTCTATTTAAATCTATTCAAACCAATTCAAATCTATTCCAAACCAATTCAAATCCATTCAAATCCATCCATTTCTATTCAAACCAATTCAAATCAATTCCAGTGTATCCAAATCAATTCAAATCAATTCCAAATCAATTCCAAATCAACTCCAATGTATCCAAATCCATCCAAATCCATCCAAATCCATCCAAATCCATCCAAATCCATCCAAATCCATCCAAATCTATTCAAAACTCTATAAACTTTAAAATTCCCTCTATCTTTTACTATTCCAAGGCTCTTGAAGAATCTAGGAATCTAGGCTGTTCTTAAGTAATTTTTACGAAAGAATCCGAGATGATTCAATTATTATTCATTATTCAAAAGAGAAAGGGAAATGGAAGAAATGAAAGAAATAAAAGGAATGAAAGAAATGAAAAGGATGAAAAGGATTTTAGATAAGATTGTAAATATAATATCTAAACATAAAACTTCAATTAATTTATTGAAATAAATGCAAAATTCAAGCAATTTCAAACAATTTCAAGCAATTTCAAAGCAATCTTTTCCAGGATTTGGTCTCGTTTCGGAAGAATGCCCAGAGAGAGCTGTTGGTTGTCGGATAAAAGTTGATCGAGACTCGATTCAATGGTCAGTTTTACCTCTTATGGTCACTCTTATGTTCCAAGATCCAAGACTAAAGCCTACAAGCTACAAAGCCTGAAAGCTACAAGCTACAAGCTACAAAGCCTGAAAGCTACAAGCTACAAGCTACAAAGCCTACAAGCTACAAAGCCTACAAGCTACAAGCTACAAGCTACAAGCTACAAAGCCTACAAGCTACAAGCTACAAGCTACAAGCTACAAGCTACAAGCTACAAAGCCTACAAGCTACAAGCTACAAGCTACAAAGCCTACAAGCTACAAGCTACAAGCTACAAAGCCTACAAGCTACAAGCTACAAAGCCTACACGCTACAAGCTACAAAGCCTACAAGCTACAAGCTACAAAGCCTACAAGCTACAAGCTACAAAGCCTACAAGCTACAAGCTACAAAGCCTACAAGCTACAAGCTACAAAGCCTACAAGCTACAAGCTACAAAGCCTACAAGCTACAAGCTACAAAGCCTACAAGCTACAAAGCCTACAAGCTACAAGCTACAAAGCCTGAAAGCTAAGCTTGTTACCTCAATGGTAGGCTCTATCTCTAACTCTATCTCTCCCGAGTCTATCTCTAATCCTGGCCAACTGATCTTCCGCAAATTACTGATCACCTAGGCTTACAGCAATCAATTATGTGATATCCAGGATTCACGAAAAATCCTTGAAATGATTGAATTTAAACAGATTACAGGCTAAATTCACCCAGTCCTAAGTCGATTTCTCAAATTCTCCCACTCTCCGCCGAATCGTCTTTCCCCTAGCCCATTCAATTACGTGACATCCAGGATTCACGAAAAATCTATGAAATGATTGAATTTAAACAGATTACAGGCTAAATTCACCCAGTCCTAAATCAAAGTTTTCAAATTTTCGAGTTCTTGCGAAAATCTCCTAAGTAAGAAAAGTAGCTAGCAAATTTGCATATGAATAGTGCAACTATTGACGCTGGATAGCATTTCATCCATTTCATGAGCTGAAAAGGCCAAGATGGACCTTGACTAGAAGACTTTGACTGACTAGATCACTAGAATATTTGATTCTTCTAGGTACGAGTACAGTCGACTCTACGATCGAAATCAACTCGTTTGTGTATTGCCCGGCGAGTATGCACAGGCTTCTGGTGAGTTTGAGAAAGCTATCATTGCTGACTGTCGGCTGAATGTCAATCAGCTTTTTAATAAGCTATTTTATTCTTTTTTTTTTTGAAAGGTGACAAGCCGACATCGGGTGAGCTGACTAACAAAAAGTTTAGTCAAGTGATTGAAGCATTAATCCGTTAGAAGCCCGTACTTTTCCTCTCCCTAGCACACTACTGGGTGTGCTAGAGAGCGTGCGTTTACGAGAGAGCGCTAGAGAGCGCTAGAGAGCGCTAGAGAGCGCTAGAGCACGCTAGAGAGGATAAAGTACATCTTTCATGCTAAATTTCAAGCTAATTTCTAGGCTGTCATCGGAAAAAGAGTGGCTCACAGTCTGTTCGGTGTTGGTGTGGTGAAAGGGATGGATGTAATGATCCAGAGACTTCACGAGCTCTCTATAAAGCTTTTGAGAAAGGAGGGAATTCAGCTGTTCAAGTGAGTGAAGTAATTGAACCGAAACAATGATTCATCCTGGAAAACAAGCCATCAATTCAGAGTCTAGATCATTACACAAATCCAGACTCTACTTGGGTAACTAAACCGCGCCAATCCTATTTCTAAACAAGGCTAGGCTAGGCAAGGCTAGGCAAGGCTAGGCTAGGCAAGGCTTGGCAAGGCAAGGCTAGGCTAGGCTAGGCTAGGCAAGGCTAGGCAAGGCTAGGCAAGGCTAGGCTAGGCTAGGCAAGGCTAGGCTAGGCTAGGCTAGGCTAGGCAGGGCAAGGCTAGGCAAGGCAATAGCCCGTATTCTCCGTGTACGGAGCTGTACTATTTGTTTCAAATCCCTTCTAGACTGCCATGCTATTAGAGAATTGAAAAAAGGTTAGAAAGCGAGAAAATCTTCTAGTATTGACTTCTAGTAATTCTAGTACTTCTAGTATCTAGTACTTCTAGCATCTAGTACTTCTAGTACTTCTAGTATCCAGTACTTCTAGTACTTCTAGTACTTCTAGTACTTCTAGTGCTTCTAGTACTTCTAGTACTTCTAGTACTTCTTGTATCTAGTACTTCTAGTATCTAGTACTTCTAGTACTTCTAGTACTTCTAGTACTTCTAGTACTTCTAGTACTTCTAGTATCTAGTACTTCTAGTATCTAGTACTTCTAGTATCTAGTACTTCTAGTATCTAGTACTTCTAGTACTTCTAGTACTTCTAGTACTTCTAGTATCCAGTACTTCTAGTACTTCTAGTATCTAGTATTGACAGTGATTCGCATTTTGTCGAGTTCTATTGAGAAAACTGTTATTTCTGTTTTCTGTTATTTCTAAATGTGTTTCAAAACCCAAAACATTCTATCAATCAGCAGTTGGCGAACCGTCTCCGCTTGGTAAAATGATAACGATTTTTTTCTTTAAGTGATCGTGTTTAGTACGAGAAACTACTAATCACTGTTTTTGCAGATAGATTTTCAGATAAATTTTAATAAATCTTTTCCAGAAATGGCATGAGACGTACACTAGGAAAGAAGAGATTTCAAAAGAAAGGAATCCCATGGAGATTGACGGTGAGAATCGATTCGATAGCAGTCTAAATTTAGATTATATTGAAGTTTGTAAAGATCTAGATCAAGCACAATCTACCCTTAAGTCTACTGGCTTCTAGTAGCTCTAGACTGTCTTCAAGGTAGACGGTCTTCTAGCAGCTCTAGACTGTCTTCAAGTCAGCTCTAGGTAGCTCTAGACTGTCTTCTAGCAGCTCTAGACTGTCTTTAAGTTAGACTGTCTTCTAGTAGCTCTAGACTGTCTTCTAGATAGCTCTAGGTAGCTCTAGACTGTCTTCAAGTTAGACTGTCTTCTAGTAGCTCTAGACTGTCTTCTAGATAGCTCTAGGTAGCTCTAGACTGTCTTCAAGTTAGACTGTCTTCTAGTAGCTCTAGACTGTCTTCTAGATAGCTCTAGGTAGCTCTAGACTGTCTTCAAGTTAGACTGTCTTCTAGTAGCTCTAGACTGTCTTCTAGATAGCTCTAGGTAGCTCTAGACTGTCTTCAAGTTAGACTGTCTTCTAGTACCTCTAGACTGTCTTCAAGTTAGCTCTAGGTAACTCTAGGTAACTCTAGACTGTCTTCAAGGTAGACTGTCTTCTAGTAGCTCTAGACTGTCTTCAAGTCAGCTCTAGGTAGCTCCAGGTAGCTCTAGGTAGCTCTAGACTCTCTTCATAGTAGCATTACTATAGCTTCAGATGTGGTGACGAGAAAGGTGAAAACGGGAAGAGTTCATGTGGGAACAAGGGAAATGAGCACGACGACGACCACCACAAAAGTGAGCAACTAAACCAAATCATTCTCTGATCACGAATTCTTTTTTTTATTGTTTGTTCTATTGTTTGTTCTATTCTATTATTTGATTCTAGAAGCCGACAACAATCACGAGAAAAGAAACAGTGACAAAACAACAAATCTTGACGACAACATTTGAACCAGTCACTCCACCAACATTGCCACCAACGAAAAGAACTGCGAGTCGACAAAAAGTCACCGGAAAAGTGCATGTGAGTAAGCTTTGAATGAGTCTGAAGGGATTACTGTACTTTTCGACAGTAACTTCAATACTTTAACGATTGGATATTGTTATCTGGAACTCACAACGGTTAGCTATCAGTAAAATGACTAGATTTGGAGGAAATTAGTGAATGGTAATACTGTGGATGAGTTTTGAAGGGATTACTGTACTTTTCGACAATAACTTTAATATTCTAACGATTGGATATTGTTATCTGGAACTCACAACGCTTAGCTGTCAGTAAAATAATAAGGTTTTGAGGAAATTAGTGAATGGTAATACTGTGGATGAGTTTTGAAGGGATTACTGTACTTTTCGACAATAACTTTAATATTTTAACGATTAGATATTGTTATCTGGAACTCACAACGGTTAGATATTGAAAATTAGGGTAATTGGCAGGAGTTTAGAATTTAGAAAATCTTAGAACAGAAAGCCTTCACTCTGAGTCCACGATAAATGTTTCTAGGTGACCGGAAAAGTCCACAAAGCTCCAATTCTCGACAAGAAAGCCCAAGATGCGATTGAGGATTTAAAAATGCCGACAACAAGAGCTTTTTTATTGACGATGAGTCCAAATGAGAGACATCATTTCAATACAAATACACCGTCTTCATATGAGGTAAGAGAAAATGAGGAAATGATAATTTGAAAGCTTTTCATTTCGACATGAAAAGGTTCAAATGAGGAAATGATAATTGGAAAGCTTTACTGGGTAAATTGGGTAAATCAGTGCATTAGAAAGTGAGTGTTTATCTGCAGAATTGAAAGGTTTAAAGATTGAAAGGCTGGAAGGCTGGAAGGCTGGAAGGAAGGCTGGAAGGCTGGAAGGAAGGCTGGAAGGCTGGAAGGAAGGCTGGAAGGCTGGAAGGAAGGCTGGAAGGCTGGAAGGAAGGCTGGAAGGCTGGAAGGAAGGCTGGAAGGCTGGAAGGAAGGCTGGAAGGCTGGAAGGAAGGCTGGAAGGCTGGAAGGAAGGCTGGAAGGCTGGAAGGAAGGCTGGAAGGCTGGAAGGAAGGAAGGCTGGAAGGCTGGAAGGAAGGCTGGAAGACTGGAAGGAAGGCTGGAAGGCTGGAAGGAAGGCTGGAAGACTGGAAGGAAGGCTGGAAGGCTGGAAGGAAGGCTGGAAGACTGGAAGGAAGGCTGGAAGGCTGGAAGGAAGGCTGGAAGGCTGGAAGGAAGGCTGGAAGGCTGGAAGGAAGGAAGGCTGGAAGGCTGGAAGGAAGGCTGGAAGACTGGAAGGAAGGCTGGAAGGCTGGAAGGAAGGCTGGTAGGCTGGAAGGTTGAAAGGTTTAAAGGTTGAAAGGTTTAAAGGTTGAAAGGTTTAAAGGTTAAAAGGCTGAAAGATTGAAAGGTTTAAAGCTTTAAACTAAGCCTTTAAAGCTTTAAACTAAGCCTTTAAAGCTCTAAAGCTTGAAAGGTTTAAAGCTTTAAAGCTTGAAAGGTTTAAAGTTCTACTTCTAGTTAACACGTCGTCGAATCTCTGAGGAAATGAAAGAAGAAGATTTCCGATTGAATCTCATCCTCGAAGATGAGGAAAAGGAAATGTTGCTGGTGAGTGGAAAGATAAGATGCGATTTCGGATACGGTTTCGACTAATTTCATGAATTTGTTAAGGATGCTGATGAAAGAAGTGCTGAATTGCAGAGAAAAGCTAGTCTAGAACGAGCAAGAGCTGATGCAGAGAAGAGAAGGGAACAAGCTGAGAGGAAAGCACAGGTGAATCACGGACAAACAGAAGCTTGACAAGTTTGACAAGTTTGACAAGCTTGACAAGGCAAAAGAACAGCTTGACAGCACTAGAATCGATTGCTAGGACTAGACAGGACTAGACAGGACTAGACTGGACAGAACAGGACAGGACTAGACAGGACTAGACAGGACTAGACAGGACTAGCCATAAGATTCCTGAGACAGAATCCAACCCGAATCTAGTTCCATCTTCATTCTCTCGATCGTCTCTTGGTCGATTCTTTGTCTAAAAGCTGATGACAACTTGAATTTGACCATAGCAATTGATTCTAGCTCTAGCAATTCGTTCTAGCCCTTGCGATCGATTCTAGTCTCTGTCTGACTCCTAAAGCTTGTGAGCTAAAGTCTGAAGCTGACTGCTGACTGTGTACTGCAACTTTTTAGCCACTAGAGATCGATGGTGGTGAGAACGAGTGGGAAGACGAGTACGATCAAGAGCAACAAGATGGATATGGGTTTAGGAGGTGAGAAGCTACTGTATTCGAGTAGTTTTTGAGTTCTAGAGTATCTAGCTACTGTATTCTAGTAGTTAGAATTCTAGAGTATTTAGTACTTTAAAGAAATACAGTATTACTTTCAGAAAACATATGCTTCAACGCCGACGGGAAAAGGAGAAACAACGAGTGGTTGAAGAGGAGAGAATGGCAAGATTGGAAAGGGAACAGGTGGCAGATTGGAGTGGATTGGATTGGATTGGATTGGATTGGATTGGCTTGGATTGGATTGAGATCTAGATAGATCTAGATAGATCTAGATAGGTCTAGATAGATCTAGATAGGTCTAGATAGATCTAGATAGATCTAGATAGGTCTAGATGGATCTAGATAGATCTAGATAGGTCTAGATAGATCTAGATAGATCTAGATAGGTCTAGATAGATCTAGATAGATCTAGATAGGTCTAGATAGATCTAGATAGATCTAGATAGGTCTAGATAGATCTAGATAGATCTAGATAGATCTAGACAGACCTAGAATTATCTAGAATGATCTAGACAGACCTAGAATTATCTAGAATGATCTAGACAGACCTAGAATTATCTAGAATGATCTAGACAGACCTAGAATTATCTAGAATGATCTAGACAGACCTAGAATTATCTAGAATGATCTAGATCTGCTAAATTCTAGGCTGAAGATCGAGAGCGAAAAGCGCGTGAGAAAGAGTTGGAGAGAAAAGTCGAGGAAGAGGTTGACGACTATTTGGATGGGGTGAGTGAAACAAAATCTTCTCTTATCGGATCCTCTTATCGGATCCCCTTATCGAATCCCGTTATCCGATCCTCTTATCGAATCCCCTTGTCGAGTCCCCTTATCCGATCCCCTTATCAGAGCCTAAGTCTAAGCCTGCCGATCTCTTGATCAAAGAAAATGATTGTCTAGTATCAGGGCCTAAGTCTAAGCCTGCCTCCCCTTATCCAATCCCTTTGATTCTATGATTGAAAGTAGCCACTCAATTCAGATAATTCCTCAAACTCCATAGCTTTCCCTTCTTGAGCGTTGTCACAGAGAAAATTGAGGGATTTCAACTCTTTTGATGCAAAGTTTAGTCAACCTTCTTGAGCTATTGAATAAAACAAGGTGAATCAGTTTTTCCGAGCTCTAATGATCTCTAATGATCTCTAATGATCTCTAATGATCTCTAATAATAAAATAAACAAGGCTGTTGATAATCCAGCAGCAAGAGAACATCAAGTGCTCAAGTGATGTCCATCTTTGTGCTCAAGTGAAGCTCAAGTGCTCCATGCTGTTCATCTCAATCGTTCTCAAGCAATGTCCAGAGATCTTCTCCAGAGATCTTCTCTGGATCTCAGAATCTGCAGGATCTTTTCAAAACCTTGAAACCAAGGGTGGCAAGCTCTTTCGATCATAACTTTTTCTCGAAAAGTGAAACAGAGATCACAATATGGTTCGGCAGCTAAGGCAGCCTAAGCCAGCCTAAGCCTTAGCTCCTTGTTAGCTCATTAGCTAGCTTCTTAGCTAGTTCCTTAGCTAGCTCGTTGTTAGCTCCTTAGCTAGTCCCTTGTTAGATCCTTGTTAGGTCATTAGCTAGCTCCTTAGCTCATTAGCTAGCTCCTTAGCTCCCTAGCTAGCTCCTTGTTAGCCTTAGGCTTCAAACAGGCTTGAAACATAAGCCTTGTACTAGGCTACAATAATCCTGACTATCTTTTAAAGTGCCTCAAAATTAGCGGACAAAATTGCAGGTGTCTCCACTCGGCTTCAGCGACTCCTCCTCGGCCACATCGCTTCCCATTTCCCTCTCAATTCTCACCATTCTTGCCATCATTCTCTTGCAATAATATGCATATTTTTCCCTCTAAATCTATCATTTATTCTTCAATTATATCCTTATTTCAAAAAAACACTCTCATCAAATCAAAAACAAATGCTGGTGATCGTCATTTTCTCGATTTTCTATTTTCTCGATTTTCTATCATTTTCTTTTTAAATCCTTTAATTCCTATCGAATTTTGAATCTCTAATTTCATTTTTTTTCCTTTTAACGCCTTAAATGTCTAATTTTTCTAATTTGAATCAATTGAAATTCTATTTTCATAACCGCTATCAATTTGAGTCAATTTGAGGCATAAAATGGCATAAAAATGGCTATAAAATGGCTATAAAATGCTTTCGAATTCCCATTCAGAAATGCATTCAATAATAAACGTTTATCAGAGAATTTAGAAATCACAAATTGCTTATCTCTACAATTTTGGTTCCTTATCTCTCTAAATTTGGTTCCTTATCTATCTAAGTTTGGATCCTCTCTATCTAAGTTTGGATCCTCTCTATCTAAGTTTGGATCCTCTCTATCTAAGTTTGGATCCTCTCTATCTAAGTTTGGATCCTCTCTATCTAAGTTTGGATCCTCTCTATCTAAGTTTGGATCCTCTCTATCTAAGTTTGGATCCTCTCTATCTAAGTTTGGATCCTCTCTATCTAAGTTTGGATCCTCTCTATCTAAGTTTGGATCCTCTCTATCTAAGTTTGGATCCTCTCTATCTAAGTTTGGATCCTCTCTATCTAAGTTTGGATCCTCTCTATCTAAGTTTTGTTCCTTATCTCTCTAAGTTTGGTTCCTTATCTCTCTAAATTTGGTTCTTTATCTATCTAAATTTGGCTCCTTATCTCTACAATTTTAGTTCCTTATCTGTCTAAATTTGGTTCCTTTTCTCTACAAATTTGTTGCCAGCGAATTTCTTTGTTGCCGTAATTATTGGGCACCCTGTAGAAAATAGAGACAATATTACGGGAAAAAGAAAAGTGGCACAGCTTTTAGGAAACGAGCACTCTATCGGACACTCTATCGGACCTTATCTCTACAATTTTGGTTCTTTATCTATCTAAATTTGGATCCTCTCTATCTAAATTTGGTTCCTTATCTCTCTAAATTTGGATCCTCTCTATCTATCCCCTTTTTTAAAGACCGTAAATACTGTAATAGTACCCCACCACAATAATGACGGTGTGGAGTGTTGGGTTGTCTAGCTTTAAACGCGTTTTTCTCGACACTGGTTTATGCTACAATATGCGCTTATTTATCAAAAAATAGCTGAAATTCAGGGCTTTTTTTCATACCAAAAACACATTTTTTGAAAGTACGAGCGCTTTGAAAAAAATGAAATACTAAAAAAATTGTATGACTGCGACTGCGACTGTGACTGCGACTGTGACTGTGACTGCGACTGTGACTCCGACTGTGACTGTGACTGCGACTGCGGCTGCGACTGCGGCTGCGACTAGCAACTAGCGACTAGCAACTAGCGACTAGCAACTAGCGACTAGCAACTAGCGACTAGCAACTAGCGACTAGCAACTAGCGACTAGCAACTAGCGACTAGCAACTAGCGACTAGCAACTAGCGACTAGCAACTAGCGACTAGCAACTAGCGACTAGCAACTAGCGACTAGCAACTAGCGACTAGCAACTAGCGACTAGCAACTAGCGACTAGCAACTAGCGACTAGCAACTAGCGACTAGCAACTAGCGACTAGCAACTAGCAACTAGCGACTAGCAACTAGCGACTAGCAACTAGCGACTAGCAACTAGCGACTAGCAACTAGCGACTAGCAACTAGCGACTAGCAACTAGCGACTAGCAACTAGCGACTAGCAACTAGCGACTAGCAACTAGCGACTAGCAACTAGCGAGTCGAGTCGAGTGGGCCTTCATAAGGTTCAGAAACGATTGGATAGGGCTCTTCTCCTTCTTTGGTCGACCTTCTGCTTCGTCCGATTTTGAACGAGGGTAGGTGGAAGCCCCAATCGCGTTTCTTCTTATTCTCCTTCTCGTCGTGTGTTTCCTCGTTTTCTTGACCTCTTTGAGATAGACAACAGCGGTTTGCTATGTTTTTACTTTTTAGTATTTACGGGATGTTTTTTCTTCTGTTTTTCTTGTTTTTCTGTTGTTTGATCTTTTGTTTGATTCTTTATTTGATCTTTTATTTAATCTTTTATTTGATCCTTTTATGAGAAAGACAATTTTTAGAAAACAAATAACGAAATAATACAGAAATAATACACTTTCAACACTTTGTTTTAAGAGAAATCATTCAGAAAATTGGGATCTCTCCTTTTTGAATCATCTCTCGGAGTTTCCACTTTTGAATTCGGCAATTAACCCTCGGATAATCATCGACGAATGCCCACAAATCGGGAACGCAAACCTGAACTCGAAAATGAAACAATTTTGGTTCGTAGATTTAGATGATATTGGTGTTGGTGAATTGAAAACTGCCAGCTATTGTCATGGAGGACTGGAGATGTCCCAGTTTGAGCGTTTGAGCATTTGAGCACTTTCTTCAAAAGAAACCATTTTAGTGTCAATGGGAAAGTTGTAGAGAATCAAAAGTGAAGCTTATATCGAAATTTCCAAAAAGATACACTTAGTAGTTCCGCTTAAAATGCAAGTTTTGTTACAAGTTTTGTTGCGAATTTGTGAAAATTCGTAATTTCGCATTACTTGAAAACCAGTTTTTGAATCGTTCTGAAAATTTTGATATAAGCTTGATTTCTGATTCTCTACAACTTTCCCATTGACACCAAAATGGGTTTCTTTTGAAGAAAGTGCTCAAATGCTCAAACTGGAACATCTCCAGTCCTCCATGACAATAGCCGGCAGTTTTCAATTCACCAAACCAATAGATTGATTTTTGCCTCATCGGTAAATAACATAAATAACATTTTCGACCAATCGGTGTTGCCTAACTTCGGTAGGTCCTGCTTCCAGTGCTTAAAGTTCGTGACATAGCTCCCAAAGAAAAACAGTCAGATAACAAAAGACTAAAAAGGCTCTCACCCCAACACATTATGCTTCCGCCGTTGAATTTTACTGAAGGCCGAATGTACTTGAGTGTGTATCGCTTTCTAGTCGGTCGCCGAATGAGATGATTTCCGTCCGCGTGAAATAAATTGATTTTTGCCTCATCGGTAAATAACATAAATAACATTTTCGACCAATCACGTGTTGCCCAACTTCGGTAGGTCCGTGGTAAGTCCTGCCTCCAGTGCTTAGAGTTCATCAGAGGTTTACGGGCAGCCCTTGCATATAATCCAGCTTGATTTAATCGTCGTCTGATCGTTTCCGGCGAAACAATGAGCAACAGGCCATCGGTCAGATTGCTTTGGCCAAGGGAGAGGGAAGGGGGTTATGTAAAAGCCCTGCGCCAGATGACGAGCGATTACGCGGCCGGAAAAAGAACACACAGAACACACAAATTTTAAGCGGAATTACTAAGTTTCTTTTTGTTAAGTTAAGTGTATCTTTTTGGAAATTTGGATATAAGCTTCACTTTTGATTCTCTACAACTCTTCCATTGACACCAGAATGGGTTTCTTTTGAAGAAAGTGCTCAAATGCTCAAACTGGAACATCTTCAGTTCTCTTGATCCAAAATAACCAATTATTATTAAATTTTCCTTCGGGATTGTCTATTTGTTTTAAAGTTGGTTTAATTCCCCAACAAATTCCCCAACAAATCACCCAACAAACCTTTGCATTATGGCAAATCTTCAGCAGTTCACTCCTCACAAAGTGTACATGTGATTGAGGGTTTTTGCAGACGCAAATTGCTACAATGGGTTCGCCGACAGCTGTTGAGATTAACTGGAAAACTTCGATCGATTTAGAATTTGATTTAGATTTGAATTTCTTTTTGAATCAAATCTATCTATAATTTCAGGTTTCTGAAAAAAAAAATCCAATAATTTCCCTGCACCTGACAGCCTTTGATCAACTCGTGTCGGATGAGATTCTTCTCTGTTTCCCAATAATGCACAAGACGACCATTCTGGAAAGAAGGTACTGAGGTACTAGACTAATAAAGTACTAGAAATAAAGTACTAGATTAATAAAGTATTAGATTCAAAGCACTAGATTAATAAAGCAACTAATAAACTAGATTTAAGTCTAGACAAAGAAAGCTTAGGCACAAAGAAAGCTTAGACAAAGCTTAGACAAAGCTTAGACAATGCTTAGACAAAGTTTAAACAAAGCTTAGACAGTTTTGCAACTAGACAAACCCTATCGTAAATGAGATCCTCTTTGTGTGCGACGAGTTCAATGTTCTGCTGGAAATCGCGTCGACAAATGTCACTGGAAAGGGATTTTTGTAAAATATCTCTAAAACTGTCTTCATATCCAGTTAATTGATCGATTTCTTAACTTACAGCTTTTTTGAATCGCTTTACTTGTAGGTTTAAAGTGTCTTGGCTAACTAAGCCTAAGCTTAAGCCTATCCCTAAGCCTATGCTTAAGCCTAAGCATAAGCCTGAGCCTAAGCCTGAGCCTAAGCCTATGCCCAAGCCTAAGCCTAAACAGCGACCTGAAAAGGATACTCTTCTTGGGTTCCAAAGCACAAGGACAATCGCTTGTCCCTTAGCTCTGAGAACTGAGATCCAGAAAATGGGGGTTCAACTCAAACCCAAATAGTCTTAGTGCGTGGCACTAGCCGCTAGCCTTCGCACTAAGTCCAAGCCCAAGCCTAAGCCTATGCCTATGCCTAAGCATAAGCCCAAGCCCAAGCCTAAGCCTGAGCCTGAGCCCAAGCCTAAGCCTGAGCCTGAGCCCAAGCCTAAGCCTGAGCCTGAGCCTGAGCCTAAGCCTATGCCTATGCCCAAGCCAAAGCCTAAAATTGAATATCAATAAAATCTAATTGCTACAAAATCTCATGTGCGTTCCAGGATCCCCAAAAAGACAAAAAATGACATAAATCAGATGATTCAAAAAAAAGTTAACCCAGTCAGAAGGTTTCTCCAATACCCTGTATAAATCCATTCTGCTTCAGCATCGAATTTCGGTGAGTAGCCAAGGAATTTGCTGTCTTGAAACGGTCGAATTTTCAGCTCGCCTAATCCCGAAGCGAATAGAGACGAATCGGTGATTGGTTCGAGTTCGATCTGAAGGAGAAGTTGGGTAATTAAACCGGGTCCGGATGTCAGAACCGGGGGGGAGTTTTGAGTTGGGTAATGCCTGCCTGTCTGCCTGCCTGCCTGCGAGAACTTTGCTCTGTGCCTGCCAGAAGGAGTTTTATTCGAGAAAATAGACTGGGTTTTCCACCTCAACAATTCACTAGCCTCAACAAGTTCTCCAGGTTCATTCACCCAAGTACTGGATTGAAAAGTAAGTCGATTTTTTTTGTGGAAAACTCCTTCTGGCAGGCACAGAGCAAAGTTCTTTTTCTATTTAATTACCAAACTCAAAAGAAAAAAAGCTCGATTTTCGACATTCAGCTTCGGTTTAATTAGCGCGCTTTATTGGGAAAGATGCGTTGCGTGTATGCCCTCAATTTCTTCCCGAATTCCTTTGAGTCATTCCCTTGAGTCATCCCTTTGTGTTGACGAGTTGATCAACAATTCTTGACCAGCAATTAATCCCTTTTCAAATGCACAATGAAATTCTTAAGTAAGACAGAGGAACAGAGGAATTGTTAAAGAAAAAAAGAAAAAAGAAAGAGGGGAAACGGGTTAAAGTCATATTTAAAGGAAATCCTTAAAGATTACAGCTATTTTAAATCATTTAAAGTCATTTAAATCATTTTAAAGTCAACTACAATACCCAAACGAGGCTATATCCATCCTAAGCCTGTACCCATCCTAAGCCTGTACCCATCCTAAGCCTGTACCCATCCTAAGCCTGTACCAATCCTAAGCCTGTACCCATCCTAAGCCTGTACCCATCCTAAGCCTGTACCCATCCTAAGCACTCATCCTAAGCACTCATCCTAAGCACTCATCCTAAGCACTCATCCTTTAAACAACTCCAATAGCAAACAACTCCAATAGCTATCCTTTTAGAAGCCATCAAAAGAACGACAATAACAGAAATTCTTATTTTTATTTCTTTTATTCTTTTATTTTATCATTTTTTTATCAAAAAAATTTAGGAAAGCAAAAAATTGATGATTTGTTTTTTGAGAAATCATTGTGCTGTCAGCTCTGAGCCAAACTGATATTTTAGTTATCGGGATATCAAAAGGGATCCACTCTCTTTAACTTAACCCAAATTCTAGTCCACATCCGTTTATACCTAGAAACGAATAGTGCTAACTTTTTCCGAGAACTTTCTTTCCAACCCAATATTATAATCTATAGATAAGTTGAAATTCTATAGATATCTATAGATAAGTTGGAAAAAGATATGTCTAGCTAGAGTCTAGAAATAGGTATGTCTAGCTAGAGTCTAGAAAAAGGTATGTCTAGCTAGACTTTAAAGCTATTTCTTAACTAGTGCACCGATAAAATAGACTGCAAAAAGGTGTAGTTAGTCTGTTCAGAAATCTTTCTTCTGTTCAGAAGTCTGTTCAGTTCTCGTCTCTCTTCAAAAAGTCTTTTCGTTTCTTTTCGTACTTCCGTTGAATTGAAAAGCAACAAATGCACAAAATGGATTATGGTTTATTTCATTCGGATCTTTTCTAGTGAGGCAGAAAGTAGAACAGAAAACTTTCTATTGTTTTTCAATAGTCATAAGATACTGTAGACTGTAGCCTAGATACTCTAGAGAATACTGTAGCCTAGATACTCTAGGGAAGACTGTAGTCTAGATACTCTAGAGAATACTGTAGCCTAGATACTCTAGAGAAGACTGTAGTCTAGGTCCTTTAGAATCGATCAAAATAGCTACAGTACTCCAGGCTTAAAGGATTTGAGTATAAAAGCTCGTAAAACTCTCATCAAATCTCTCACCTCATAACCGGCAATCACTTTCCCGACGTTTTTCCGAAAATCGCACTGCTCATCAGCCATAATCGGAATTGTGGCCACTTCGGTGAGAAGGAAACCAACCTAAAGCGCTGACTACTTTAGAATCTATCGACTACTGTTAAGGATTGCATTTTAAAGTACCGTAAACCCTAAATCCACCGAATTTCGAAAAATCTCCTTACCGCAATGATCTGCGCATTCACGCATTGCTTCTTGATGGTGAAGAGGAGCTCGGCGGGCACCTGGGAATGAATGACTCTTTGTGGTTTATGTTAACGCTTTCTGAACTCTTCCTGGGATTCCTGGGAAAGAATTCAGTGCAAAAAAAGAAAGTCATGACACGGCCGGGAGTCGACTGTGTGGTTTGTAAATAACAATGCTCCCGACTGCGCCAAGGAAACCACCAGCCAGAAAAACCCGCTCTTAGGCTTCACGAAGGGCGTCTACGTGTTTATCTCTAGATTATATCGATATCGAAACACCAGTTTAACAGCTGGTTTTTCTGGATAGGGACGAGTAGTCACCATGGCGCAGTCAGGGACCGGCTTGTGCCCAGCAGGGTCCGGGTTCGACTCCTGGCTTTGTCAGGATCTTTGTTTTGTAAAAAAATGAGATATGAGATGCATAAATACATCAAATTCTAAGTCTAAGAAACTAAAAATCATGTAAATCGCGCACGGACAGACAGACGAACGGACAGACAGACAGATAGACAGACAGACAGACAGACAGACAGATAGACAGATAGACAGATAGACAGACAGACAAACAGATAGATAGACAGATAGACAGATAGATAGACAGATAGATAGATAGATAGATAGACAGATAGACAGATAGATAGACAGATAGACAGATAGACAGATAGATAGATAGATAGATAGACAGATAGACAGATAGACAGATAGATAGACAGACAGATAGATAGACAGACAGACAGACAGACAAACACTACTCTTTTATATAGTAGATATCTACAATTAGATTATACAAATCTATCTATAATTCTGTCTATTTTCGGCTATAACTTGTCAATTTAAAGCTGACCCTCTCCCCAATCAACATCAATCGTTGAATCGATGCCAATTTCGTCTTGCTTGCGCTAGCCACTTTCAGCAATAGCCTCAAAGCGGCTCCGTTTGTGATTAAAGTTGAGCATCTGAAAAGTTCTATAATCTATTTAAAAAAGAAATCTATTTAAAGCAACTACCAGCACTCCACAACTACCAGCACTACCAGCCTATTCTCAAAGCCTTAAAACCCTTACTGATATTTTTGAATCGACTGGAAGAGATTTCGAGGTAACGGCGAGGGTTCCGGGAACACTGTTCGACACTCTAAAAGCTTCATAGCTTACTGTAGTCGCTGGAAAAGCTACCGCTAATCCCGGCAGATAGATTTCTTTAGATCTAGACAATGTTTACAAACAAACCAGTCAGAAATGGAGCCAACACACAGAGGGAAAAGATTGGAATCCGGAAAATCGGCAGAGCGCAGGAGAGAATGTGCTAAAAGGATTCTGTTTTGAAGATTTCATTGAAGATTTCACGCTAAACGGATTTTCAAGCTCAAAAGAAGCTACGAGTACTGTGTCTGAAACTGTGTGTCGAGTACTGTAGCTATCAGAGTGTAAAGAAAAGCGCGCTTCGAATCACCCGGTGCTGACAATTTGTCAAGTGTTTGCTTACGTTTAAATCGATGACAACAAGCTCGTGCTTCGAGCTGCCATGCTGCCATGATATGCTGTCATGATTTGAAACAAGGAAAAACCCCTGCTGAATCTTGTTCCCTTGGCAAAGCTTTAGGAGATGATTGTATCAGTGTCGTCGATGATTTCAGCGTTTTCGAGATGGCAATGAAAGCCTCCAGACAGCAATGAAAGCCCCAAGATGTCCCTGGATGCCCCAAGATGTCCCTGGATGCCCCTAGATGTCCCTGGATGCCCCTAGATGTCCCTGGATGCCCCAAGATGTCCCTGTGTGCCTCTAGATGTCCCTGTGTGCCCCTAGATGTCCCTGGATGCCCCAAGATGTCCCTGGATGCCCCAAGATGTCCCTGGATGCCCCTAGATGCCCCTGGATGCCCCAAGATGTCCCTGGATGCCCCTAGATGTCCCTGGATGCCCCAAGATGTCCCTGGATGCCCCTAGATGTCCCTGGATGCCCCAAGATGTCCCTGGATGCCCCAAGATGTCCCTGGATGCCCCAAGATGTCCCTGTGTGCCCCTAGGGGTCCCTGTGTGCCCCTAGGGGTCCCCGTCTGCCTCTAGATGTCCCTGTGTGCCCCTAGATGTCCTCGTCTCCTAGTACTGTAGATTGATCTGCAAATGTTCCGGGTAGTGTAATCAAGTACAGTACTTTAGACAAGTCTAATGTTTAAGTTTTCACAATACTCACGTCTCGTTTCACTTTGAATGCATGAACGGCCGCTCGAGCACCATTCAAGATCTGGTGATGAGTGAGAGCGACCAATTTTGGCTCACCCGATCCACCCTGAAAGCCACAATAGCCACAATAGCTAAGGATTACTGTGCAGCCTCTTCACGGGACTATGGTCGCAATCCTTTCGCTTGATTACTGTAGAACAATAAACGATTGCTTAGCTTTTTGCTTAGCGATTGCTTAGCTTCAATTTTTGGCCAAACCAACCTGCGTATACTGCAAGCAAGCGATTTTGTTCTCGTCAAACGAGTTCGGTGATGGTAATCGCTGGATTTGGTCGGGTGTCGCTTTGAGATAGACATCGGAGAGGGTGAAACAGCCACTAAATAGTGGAATCTAGTAAATCTTGCTGAATGGCTTAGGCTACAGGTTCCAGGTGTGGAACAGAACCTGGAGATGGTCTGGGTATGGTTCTAGAACTGGGCATGGCCTTGACTTGGTATCTGGACTTGGATCTGAATTGTAAACAGACCTGGATTTAGATTAGATCTAGGTGTGAAGTGCCTGGGACTGGATTTGATCTGGATCTGATCAATACCAGAGTCTAGTAGCTGAAGTAGATCTAGATCTGGTTCTGGACTAGATTTAGACCTGGTTCCTATCTAGGAACTGAACCCTGAACCTGGATTGGATCTAGATCTGGATCTGAAGGCTAGGCTCCTGGATCTGATCTAGAATTGAAGATGGGACCTAGATCTGGCTCTGGACCTAGACTCGAGCCTGGTTCTAGATCTAGACCCAAGCCTGGTTCTGGATCTAGACTCAAGCTTGGCTCTGGATCTAGACTCAAGCCTGGTTCTGGATCTAGACTCAAGCCTGGTTTTAGATCTAGACTCAAGCCTGGCTCTAGATCTAGCCTGGTGACAAGTTCTGGCTTCTAACCCGTTCTAGCTCTAGGTTCAATGGTGCTAGACTTGTAGCACAAAGGCTACATAGTTACAGTATCTAAATAGTTAGATATTAGATAGATGTTTCTAAGATAAACTCACGCATGTGCATAGTCCTCTTCAGCCAGAATGACATGTGTCAGAGTAGGCAAAAGGTCGCTTTTGATCGCGCCACGTTCGGAGATTTTGATCTCGGGATGGAGCTCGAGGAGGAGGTCTGAAGAGAGGAAATGTTTCTAGAGGTAGAAAAGGTTATTGTAGCTAGTACTGTACTGTACAAGAAGTACTGTAGTCTGCGACTAAGCTGAGACTGAGATGCACAATAGTTACCATAATCCTTTAGACTAAACGAAAGCGAAGTAAAGCCAAGCAAAGCAAAGCAAAGCCAAGCCAAGCCAAGCCAAGCAAAGCCAAGTCAAGCAAAGCAAAGCAAAGCCAAGCCAAGCCAAGTTAATCCAAAAAAGCACTAAAGCTACTGTAATCCGTTTGACATCAAAAATCTGTCAGTACTCAACAGTACTATAAATCTTGAGCTTTTAAAACCCACTGTACAAATACTCTTTGATCTTCAGCACCGGGAAACAGACGATTGCTTTAAACTCTCCCTGAAATAACATCCATCTCTGATCTATTTACATCTATTCTCTATCTCTAACCTTATTTAGGATTCGAGCAAAAATCTCAGCGTTCGGGAAACCTGGATTTGCGAGAGTGAAGATAAGACCAGCACGAGAGGCACCGAGGGCACAGAGGAGGGCCTGAATGGAGAAAAGTTTACGGGAAATATCTAGCTTTTCGGAATTCGATTACTGTAAATACCTAGAGATACAATAAAGCTGATTGTGCATTGATTACTGATATTTTGAATATAGCTAGATATAGGAATTATCTAGAAGCAATTCTGACTACGAACTGACGATCAGATGCCAAGAGCAACAGAGAGCTGGAATGGGGGTACTGTAGATGAGATTACGGGAGATATTTAGATAATAGATACTTCTAGATAAGAGATCACTGTATATCTAGCTATAACAATGTTAGAAGCGCTTGGTACTGGAAGCTAGGGAAGCTAGGGAACAGTTATGGGAACTGGATTTGACTGTGAACCAGAATCTGAGTCTGGACTGGGCCTGGTTCTAGACCTAGATCTAGATTTGGATCTGGTTCTGGGTCTGGATCTAGGCCTGGGCCTGGATCTGGAACTGGATCTAGGTCTGGATCCGGTTCTAGACCTAGATCTAGATTTGGATCTTATTCTGGGTCTGGATCTAGGCCTGGGCCTGGATCTGGAACTGGATCTAGGTCTGGATCCGGTTCTAGACCTAGATCTAGATTTGTATCTGGTTCTGGGTCTGGATCTAGGCCTGGGCCTGGGCCTGGATCTGGAACTGGATCTAGGTCTGGATCCGGTTCTAGACCTAGATCTAGGTCTGGATCCGGTTCTAGACCTAGATCTAGGTCTGGACCTGGTTCTAGATCTAGATCTAGGTCTGGATCCGGTTCTGGACCTAGTTCTGAACCTAGATCTAGGTCTGGATCTGCTTCTGGATCCGGTATCTGGACCGAATTCAGCTAAAGCCAGCTTCAGAACCAGAGTCAGCTAGGGAAGCTCTTTTAAACGACAATCATCATTAGCCTTGATCAGTTTGAGAGCATCTTCGTCATTAAACTTGATGAGTGCCGAGTTTGCTCAAACCTGTGAATAATTCGATCCGGCGATCATGACCCGATCGCCCGGCCGCAAACCGATGGCAAGTAAACCGGCTGCAATCGTTTCCATCTAGAAATTTGGATATCAAGAATAATCCTAGCTAAAAGGTAGCTAAAAGGTAGCTACAAGTTGTAGAATTTGTTAAATCTCACCTCTTTCCGGCATTTCTCGAAGGTGAGACCGATCTGAAATTCAAATTGGTTTCATAGGGATCACTTTTTTGGCTTTTTTTGGCTTTGTTTGGCTTTTTCTCACTTGCTGCCCATCAAACAGCTGACTATAAAACTCTAGAAACAAAATTTTCCATAAGATAACCATTAAAAACAATGTAATGTCTGAAGCGGTCATAGGCGATTCCCTCTAAACGATATATGACACAAGGCGAAAAACCGAAAACTCGAAAAACCACTTTTTCCCAGATTTGGTTCAATTACCCAACTTTCGACCTTTCGAGGGTAAAAGACCTTTCGGTAATTTGATGCCTTTGCAGTAATTTGATTAATTCAAACTTTGTTGTGACATCCAACTAGAATATAGCCAAAATACTAGCTTGCCTTACTCTTGTAGAGCTAGAGTTACACAGGCGAGAAGTTTTACTCAAAAAGTGCCTGACTTCAAAGAGGCTATATGGCTATTTTGAGTAATCCAAAGTTTAAAGTGACATCCAATTTAGATCTAGCTAAAGTATTAGATTGTCTTACTCTTATAGAACGAGAGTTTTGTCGCCAAGGAGTTCTGAAGTTGGTTAGTTTTCGAGAAATACGAGAAAATGCAAGAATTGTGATCGATCGAGATGTCCAAAAGGACCGCCTGGACCTGATGGAATCCCTGGAGATCGGGGAATTGATGGTGGGTTGGATAGGGAGGAATGGAAGGGTCCAATCCATGGCAGAGCCAGGACCAGCCCAGGTCCATAGCTAGATCCAGAGACCAGACCAGCCCAGGTCCTTGATCCAGCATTCCTATTTCGAGTAACCCAAAGTATATTGTGACATCCAACTTAGATCTGGCTAAAGTATTAGCTCGCCTTACTCTTGTAGAACAAGAGTTACACGGGCGAGAAGTTTTACTCAAAAAGTGCCTGACTTCAAAGAGGCTGTATGGCTATTTTGAGTAATCCAAAGTTTAACGTGATATCCAATTTAGATCTAGCTAAAGTATTAGATTGTCTTACTCTTCTAGAACAAGAGTTACGCCGGCAAGAGTTTTCCTTGAAAAGTGCTTGACTGAAATTCCGTAATGCAGGAATTTGATCAATTCAAGCTTTGATGTGACATCCAACTAGAATCTAGCCAAAACATTCGACAGCTTACTCCTTCTAGAAAGAGAGTTACATCGACAAGAAGCTATCAAAGTTGATTCGTTTAGCAAATTCGGTTAATTTTTCTACCTTTTCGGCGTCAAAAGCCAAAGCGATCCGGTCTTTCACTCTTGATTTCAAATAAATCAAATCAGGAATCGTTTGCGAATTTTTTTCGAGACATTTGTTGGCACGACCCTAGAAAAATTGAAGGATTTGATTGGAAATATATGGAAATTTATGGAAATCGATGATCTTATATTTTTAGCTTATAAATTTTATAACAAAACGAACGATAAGCCTTGTAAAATCAAGACAATATGGAGAATCATCGTTTTCAAAAGACATCTTCGAAGAAAAATGATCGAGTTTCGGTTTTAGATCATCTGAAAGTTGATGATGAGGAAAAATTGATGGGAAATTGATGGGAAATTGATTGAATTGATTGAATTGATTGAATTGATTGAATTGATTGAATTGATTGAATTGATTGAATTGATTGAATTGATTCAATTGATTCAATTGATTCAATTGATTCAATTGATTCAATTGATTCAATTGATTGAATTGATTGAATTGATTCAATTGATTGAATTGATTCAATTGATTCAATTGATTCAATTGATTGAATTGATTCAATTGATTGAATTGATTCAATTGATTGAATTGATTCAATTGATTCAATTGATTCAATTGATTGAATTGATTCAATTGATTCAATTGATTCAATTGATTGAATTGATTCAATTGATTCAATTGATTCAATTGATTGAATTGATTCAATTGATTGAATTGATTCAATTGATTCAATTGATTCAATTGATTAAAAATAAGCCTAAATAGAGCCTGATTGATGAAAAGTAAAAGCTGAGTTAAAAAAGCGAGTATCTGGATGTCACAGAGTCGAGATTTACTCTCTAAGTGATTATTTAGATGAGCTAAAAAAAGAAAGATGATAGATTGAAGGGAGAACAATCGGTTAATTGAAAGGACACTTTAAAGCTTTAACTTGACTCTAAAGCTTTAACTTGACTCTAAAGCTTTAACTTGACACTTTAAAGCCTCAAAACTTTATCTAGAGATCGTATTTCATTTCTAGCTTTTATATGATTGTATAGAAGACATTTTAGGGTTTAAAAGAAGCCTAAATAGCCTTAAAATAAGCCTAAATAGAGCTTGATTGTCGTTGAAAACTAGCCGACACAGTTGGATCGGCCTCAGAGTTGGCTTTGATTTTCTTGAACTGGATTATCTATTCAAGCTCTATTTAGGCTTATTTGAAAGCCTAAATCCTCCTCTATACAATGATATAAAACGTTTTGAATAATATTGTCTCTGGATAAAGTTATGAGCTTTTAAAGTGCGACGAATAAACGATTGGGATGATTGAATACGATTGGGAGATTGTAATAGAGATTGTGATTGAGAGATTGTAGTTGGGAGATTGCTTGAGAGTTGAGAGTAGTGCTTTCTGATGAGCTGTTAGAGCTGGGGATCTTGAAACAGAGCTGTTAGGGAGTCGATCAATGAGTCAAGAACGAAAATAACTAGCGAATCTGCTCATGCTGATCTTACAATTGGGATGGGGCTAAGATCTGCCTCTCTTCCATCTGCCTCAGCCTCTTTTCCATTGATAAAAACCCAACTCTTTCTTTTCCTAAGCACAATCCCTGGATCAATCTTTCGCAAGAGTCTTCTTTCTCCTTTCTTTCTCTTTCTTTCTCTTTCTTTCCCTTTCCTTCTCTTTCTTTCCCTTTCTTTTCAAGAATAGCAGTTGTTTTCTGTTTTCCTCCATTTTTCCTTTAGTTTCCATGTTTCTTTCAGAAAATCATCCAAAAGACTTAAATTTTCGTAATTGAACTTATCAGCAAGATGGTGCAGGCCCACAAATCCAAGAAAAGTCAAGAGTTCTGTCAAAACAACTTCCCGGACTTCATTTCTTTTTCTGATTTCTCTAGATCTCAGCCCAATGGATTTTCCCGTGTGATCGGTTCTAGAAGTCAAAGCTTGTTCCATCGAAAACGAAAGAATCACTGTTGAAAGCGTGAGAAGAGCTGCAGGCTATCGCCACTGTTGACGTTGACGACGTCACTGTTGACGTCGACGACGTCACTGTTGACGTCGACGCTTCCTCGAAACGCCTGTAAGCCTGCTGAAATGCTAGTGATAGTCGAATTTAAATAGGAACTATAAAGGAACTAAATAGGAACTAGATAGGAACTAAATAGGGACGATAAAGTCACTAAATAGAACTTAAATAGGACCTAGATAGGAACTAAATAGAAACTATAAAGGAACTATAAAGTAACCAAATAGGAACCAAATTTAATAGTTCATTTATAATTGTTAATGTACAATAAATGTGATTTAGTTCAAAATTTGTCTTTTTTTTCTTAAAATCAGAGCTTTATCTTGTTGAGAGAATTATGGTTAGAGCTTTTCGTTGTAGAGATAAACCGACGTACAGTCGACTCTCTTTATAACAGAATAATAGAGAATGATGCTTAGAGAATGATTTAGAGACGCTTTCATGTTAAATTTGAATTTCCGTCGCAAATTTGAAATGCTATTTTCGCGCGACGTCGCATTCCAATTGACGTCGCCGCCAGTTGGAGGTAGTCGATGGGAGCGTCGCGTCGTCGTTTCTTTTTCATTTTCAAATCATTTTTTTTTGTCAGCTTATTGTTTAATTGTTTTTTATTGTTTTTAATTGAATTTTCTTATTCTTTAACTGTTTTTAATTGAATTATTATTGGTTTTTAATTGAAATTATTGTTTTATGCGAGTCACCCTGTATAGCTCAGCGTCAGCTGGGATCAAAATTCCATTCGGTTATAGATTGCCGTTATAGAATGCTGTTATCTAAAGCTTTTCGTTGTAGAGAGAGTATAGCTTAGCGTCAGCTGGGATCAAAATTCCATTCCATTATAGAGTGCTGTTATAGAATGCCGTTATCTAAAGCTTTTCGGGTTCTTTTCCAATATCGGGGGAGCGGAAGGATTATCGGGGGAGCGAAAGGAAAATCGGGGGAGCAAATTTTGGCAGCGCTACATATGTCCTATTTAAAATTGTGACGAATGGGAGCTTGCTTTGTTGCAAAAAGTTATCGACTCGAATTCCTCTTGAATGCTTGGGGACCTTTCGCCGTGCACAAGTGTCACATACCCAGCGAAATAGATCTTTTCCCTTTGAGCGGACTTTCGATTCGCCACAGTTGCAAATCCACGACTGGATGACTCCTTTGGTGACGAAATAATCGATTGCCGTCGATTCCTTGAACGCACAAATATCGGAGAAGCGCATCGTCGTTAAAGTTTTTAAAAAAAACGTTGCAGTTAAAATACAGTCCCGGAAATGCATTTTTCGAGGGGGCAAAATTTGCTCGCCCGATTTTCCTTTCGCTCCCCCGATAATCTTTCCGCTCCCCCGATATTGGAAAAGAACCGCTTTTCGTTGTAGAGAGAGTCGACTGTACGTCATTTTTGAGTTACTGTAACATTGTCGTATTTGCAAGAAAATTACAGAAGTTACAGAAGGCTAAAGTAAAGGAAAGTCGAGAACAATCAATTGGAGATGGATCTTTTTCTGAGTTCTCTAGATCTCAGCCCAATGGATTTTCCCGTGTGATCGGTTCTAGAAGTCAAAGCTTGTTCCATCGAAAACGAAAGAATCACTGTTAAAAGCGTGGGAAGAGCTGCAGCGTATCGCCACTGTTGACGTCGACGACGTTGGAGACGGAACTTGTCAGCTTTTTTGTCAGCTTAAAAATTAAGCTTTTTTTATCGCTATATCGCTCAAATTTCTATAAGAATTCGAAATCTGAGTGTGCTAGAGGAAATGCGTTTACAAAAACGTCCATTCGGCTGTCATTTCACAGAGAAATCGCGGAGAAAATCGAGTAAAAACTGAGGCGGTGATTAGAAAAGTGAAAACGAAAGATTTCCTCTTTCCTCTTGCCAATTCCATTTCCAATTCCATTCCCTTACACTTTCAAGATATTCAGCTAACAAATTCAGCTATGTATTTCAATTACTTGAAAATCGCAACATTCCTCTCAATTTTTGGCATCTTTTCAGCGATTTTCACTTTCTATTCCCTTTTCACTGATTTACTCACGGCAAAAAAACGAGATTCACAATGATTACTTGGATTTTGAGGTGAATTAGAATGGTTTTGCTGATTTAAAACCAAAATTTTACCGATTTAAAACAAAATTTTACCGTTTTCTCCAAAAAAAAGCAGTTCTTGCGGTTTTAAGAGAAACGAAAAAGAATTGAGTGAAACTAAAACGTTTTTCATTCAAGCTGGATGTCACAGAATCTATCTAAACCGTTTTTTCTCCAAAAAAAGCAAACTTTTGGCGGTGACCGGACTCGAACCAGCGACCCTCCGCCTGAAAAATCTTTGCTTTACCCACTGCGCCATCAAAAAACTTGCCCATTTTAAGGTGCTAATAATTGCTAAATATTCTGTGCATTCCAGGATTTATGAATAGCATTTTCTTTATCTTTAATTTCCCCTTTTTCAGCTTATTTTTCGTCCATTCTCAGTTCGCGCAATTTTAAGAGAAACTAAAGGAAATTGAGTGAAACTAAAACGCTTTTCATACAAGCTGGATGTCACAAAATCTTTCTAAACTTTTAGTTCTCTAGAATAAGCAAAAGTTTTTGTGGTCTAGTGGTTAGTGGGCTTGGCTGTGAGTCTGAGGGTGCTGGTTCGAGTCCGCTCACTGTCGAAACCTTAATACAAATCAACAAATCAATTTCCAGATCAAATCCAGAGCCACATTTGCATCAATTCGCGAGATCGTTTCCATCAAATCAAGAGCTGAGCCTTCAGCGAGAATTCAAAGAGACACATATCCAATCGCGCCAAATTCGAGAAAATGCAAGAATTGTGATCGATCGAGATGTCCAAAAGGACCGCCTGGACCTGATGGAATCCCTGGAGATCGGGGAATTGATGGTGGGTTGGATAGGGAGGAATGGAAGGGTCCAATCCATGGCAGAGCCAGGACCAGCCCAGGTCCATAGCTAGATCCAGAGACCAGACCAGCCCAGGTCCTTGATCCAGCATTCCTATTTCGAGTAACCCAAAGTATATTGTGAAATCCAACTTAGATCTGGCTAAAGTATTAGCTCGCCTTACTTTTGTAGAACAAGAGTTACACGGGCGAGAAGTTTTACTCAAAAAGTGCCTGACTTCAAAGAGGCTGTATGGCTATTTTGAGTAATCCAAAGTTTAACGTGATATCCAATTTAGATCTAGCTAAAGTATTAGATTATCTTACTCTTCTAGAACAAGAGTTATGTCGCCAAGGAGTTTTGATAGCAAAGTTGGTTAGTTTTCATTGAAAATTCAATTCAATATCGACAAAATGAAGGAAACAGAATATATTCAGATAATAGGCATATGGCATTGCATACAAAGCTATTTCTAAACCAGATCAGACACCAATCCTCGATTCTAGGCTATGATGGCCCCGCAGGGACTCCAGGCCATGACGGTCCTCCATCCGTAAGATCGGGCCGTCCACCGCTTGATTGTATCCAGTGTCCACCAGGTACTCTCCTATTTAGATTCATTCTTCCTCATCTGATATTATCCCTAAGCTTTCAGGACCCCAGGGACTCCCAGGAGATGACGGTTTAAAGGGAAAAGATGGACCGAGTGGACCGCCGGGAGTCATTGGAATGGTAGGCTAAAGCCGTAAGCTGGAATACTGTAGCTACAGATTACTGTAGCTACATTCCAGACTACTGTTACTACAGTATTCTGCCAGCTACCGTAATCTAGAGTTTCTGTATTCTGTCTTTAGTCTGGAAAAGACGGAGACATTGGAGAGCCAGGTCCCACTGGAGATGCCGGAGTCCCGGGACCTTCAGGTCAGCCAGGGGGAACCTGGGCAACCTGGTGAACACGCATTGCAAAGAGTCGGACAAATCGGACTAAAGGGAGAACCGGGAAGCAAGGGATCGCCTGGACCTAAAGGTTAGTGGAAACATTCCATCGACTTTTTCCACCGTAAATTGGACTCTAACGTACGCTGTGACATCCAGAATGAGCAATACTTTTGAAATTTTGGTCCTTTTTACGAGCGAGCACAAACTACACCTCTGAACAGCCAAAGATCAAAGTACAGTACTAAAAAGTCAGTCAAGGTACATAAATTGGATCCTAAAGTATGCTGTGACATCCAGAATGAGCAATACTTTTGAAATTTTGGTACTTTTCCCTTGTAAACAGTCATTTAAAGCTTCGATATTCGTATCGATGATATTTATATCGAAAATGTATACATTATTTAGGTGCAAAGGGTTTCCCCGGCTTACCCTGGTCAGTCTGGACCGCCGGGGGCACCTGGACCAAAAGGAGCTCCAGGAATCGATGGAGTCAAGGGAGAACCGGGATATGTCAGTTCTGTACACAGCCAGAGTCTAAACGCCCTCAAATGACTCTAAGCCAAGCTGGGCTCCTGGTAGCACTGTACTTTACTGTACTGTAGTTTACTGTACTGTACTGTACTGTACTGTACTTTCCCTAGGACACGAGATTTGCTTGTAGAATTGATGCTCTGAGTGTAGCTCTGGTTTCTTGTCAAATATCAAACTTTCCTTTTAGCCCGGTCCTCCAGGGTTGCCAGGGCGTGACGCGAATATTGTGGTTGTACACAAGTCGAAGAAACTGAAACTGAAACCGAACCGAATGAAGAGAAAAGCGAGGAAAGATACGGAGAAGAGGAGTTAGTGGAAATGGAAAAAGAGGAAGCACAAGGGTGGAGGACAACTCTTAGCTATCTATTTTGTGCTCCCACACAAACGCATTCTCTCTGGTGCACTGTAACTGTACAGTTTGTGGGATGGGTTTCGAAATCCTGGCTTCAAATCTAATCTTTCCCCTAGTCCTCTTGTCAAGACAAGCGAAAATTTTGAAATCACTACAATTGGTCAAATAATGTGAGATCTTATAGCGTGACATCGAGATTGGCTACAGAGTCGAAGCTAGAGTAAGGCACTTGAAAGGAAAGCTTCACTTAAACCTAGGGTACTTGTGTATGACAATGTCGATATGCTTTGAACTCTTCACCGGCCGACGACACAAAACCTGGAAACGAACGACGAATTACATGAAAAGTTCGTCGAACTGCAAAAAAGGATATCTGCAGAAGGAAAACTGCAGGAAAGTTGAGGTGAAGCTGGGCTTGATTGACAGATAGATCGACAGACCGATTGACACGATTGATAAGAAACGATTTGAAAAAACAGACTATCCGGGTAATTGAACCCCAAAACCTGATCAGAGATCACTT